CCCACCCACCCACAAATCATTAGTCATGATTAACATATTAAGTCTGTATTACATATTAGATGTACCTCTATCAATACAAACCGGCATGTTTCAACTACTACATTAAATTATTTATTGTAACCCAAACTCATTTTAACCCGTTATTTAGCACGATTATTTTGTCACGTATTACATTTATTTATTATTAATTTTTTTTTTATTTTGTTATAGGTATTAAATGTTATATTTATAGATGATGTGTTATACTTTATTACGAAAATAAAAAACATATCTAATGTAGTTAATGGTTGGAGTAGATTTTAATATATGATCAATAATAATAATACGAGGGAGAAGGTATTCATTAATTGCAAATTTACTAGCAATAATTATGGTCTCCTCTCTTCCACCCTCCCCTATATAGACACATGTAACGGACTACATTATTCATTCCCAAATTCAATCCCCCCCTCTCTCTCCGCTCTATCTTCAACTTCCTCCGCCCTATCTCCGCCGTATCTCTCCGACCTGTTTGTTTAGCTTCATCGGAAAAGGAATGGTTACCGACGTAACTTATCTGTGTACGATAATGAATCAGCAGCAAGGAATAATGAATGATTCTAAATCAACGGCTCTTATTACTCGTGACTTGCTCGGAGGCGGTGGTGGTTGCGACCATGATTCCTCCAAGGAATTGGACCTCGACTTACATGTTCCTTCCGGATTTGAAAAGCGTCTCGATTTAAAGGTAAATTATATCAACTTTACTTGTTTCAGAATTCAGACCTAATTTTACTCTACTTCAAGCTTTTTCCTAAGTTCTAGCTCTCTATCTTTAATTGATCAATCGATCATTAATCATCGTTTTGTTTTGTTAATCATGGCATTTTTGCTGATATGAATACCAATTGGAATGAATTCTGACCTAATTTTACAGAGACGATTGGTTTTCTATTGCGTGGTAATTTAAAAAAAGGTATTGGTAAATGTTTCATGTGGAATGAGGAACGATCGTTTTCATTAAATTATGGATTCTAAAATTATATGAGTTGTTTGTAGTCATTCATTTCTGTGCATGTATGAACAAGGTTTGAAGAGCAATTAATGATGCACTCCAATTTATTAATATAAAAACGTTTGGAAAGTGTAGTTCGTAATTAGTAGGGGCAGATTGTTAGGAATGCAACATTAATGGCAGTCATTGATGTGTACTTATTTCTGAATTCTGATGCAGTAATAACTCTGTAGTTATCCATTTGTTGATTCCATTAATGCCAAATATACTTACTTTTTTATTCATGTAATCGATTCAAACTGATGATGAATTACTTTTCAGTCAGGGAAAGTTTATCTCCAGAGATGCAAATCACCAAACACATCTTCTTCATCATCGGATCAAAACCAGAACCACAACCACAACGATCAAACAGTATCAAAGCTTCAGGACCTCAACTTCCCTCCATCTTCAAAAAAACCATTAAACCTGTTCGATGATTCAAGCTTAGATCTCAACCTTGTCAATTTATCATCATCACCACCGGCTTACAGAAGTGTTTGCACTCTTGATAAAGTCAAATTCGCACTTGAACGAGCAGAAAGAGAAACATTCAAGAAACGATCAGTTTCAATTTCAACCTCAAAGTCATGTTCATCTCCTACCTCAAATTCTTCATCCTCCATGAAAGAAACCATGATTATCGATGATGATGATGATAACGAACGATCTTCTCAGGCTTATGCTGCTGGATGCCCTAGTTGCTTGCTGTATGTGCTTATTTCACGTAGCAACCCTAGATGTCCTCGTTGCAATATGACAGTTCCATCACCTACAGCCATGAAGAAACCACGAATCGATCTTAACATGTCCATATGATATAAGATATATGATATGTGATGTGATATGATATGAGTTAGTAATTTTACTTTAAATTTTAATTAACTAATATTCTTGTAAATGATAAAATAGAAAACAGGGGAGGGGAGAAATAGGTTTTGATTTAGTTATAAAGAAAATCAATCCTCTATGTACACATTGTGAAGGATATTTTAATTTCTTTGTTTTAAACTTTATATTTATCACCTTAAATCCTAAAAGAAAATAACTCATGATGAAATTAACATACTTTCTCTGATGAGATTCATGATTGTGATGTTAAGTTTTATTTTATTTTATTTAGTTTGTTTGGAATATTTTATGTGATGAGCACATCAGATGATGAGTAGGAAAAGTTTGTGACATTTCATCTTACATTAATTATGGCTTTTCGTTACAGATATTTAGTAGTGGACTTTTGATAATGTTCTGGACGTGTGAATTTAAATGATAAAAAATGTTTTAAAATGGGAAATGTTAAATTAAAGGTGTAACCTTGAGAATAGTCAAATGGTGACGCGGGAATTAATGGAGCTGGAGATTGTATAACTGAATTTATTTGACTTTTTTGCAGTTCGTGATGGAGATAAGATCCTTTTTTTTAAGTCGATAGAAATATATTATTTTACTGAAAATCATGTTTTCACAATGGCAAAGTTTATTTGAAATAAAAGTATTTTTGTAAGATAAATATTTTTTGGTATACTTGCAACATCACAAACCAAAAATGCTACAACCTTTCATCCCACATTATTATGGTGTGCATACCATGACCATCACTTTGGTGCTGTTTGTTTTTTCGAAGCGAAAATTCATGAAGTCTGCGGACCACCTCTGCAATCCTCTGTAGCAGAAGAGGTGGAACAAACGGCTGCAGCCTATAATAAGAAGGATGTTTGTTTTTTAACATCTGCACACTGCTGCAGTAAACTGAAATTTAAATAAATTAATTTTATAAACTGAAAATAGTTCTCAACACCGAAATTTAATAATTCTAGTCTTAAAACATTGAAATAATAATAAAAAAACATGTAAAAAAACAAAAATATAAAACTTTTTTTTTAAAAAAAAACTTAAAAAAATGTAAAAGAAGCTAATAGTTTTATTCTAGAAAAAAAACTAATATTAAAAAACATTAAAAAAGAAAATAATAAAAAAACCAAGAAAGTATTGCAAACGATATCTACAAAGTTCGTAAAAAATTACACACGTTAAAAAAGATGCAACTGAAATTGAAAATATTATTAATAAAACGGTAAAAAAAATTAAAAAATTCAAGTTAAAAAAAATCGTGGAAACTATAAAAATAAATTGTATCACATCCGTAAATAAAAATTTAAGAAAATCAAAGTTTAAAAAAAAGTTAAAAAAAAAAAAGTTATACAAAAATTCTTAAAAAACACTTGGAAAAAATAAAAGCTGAAGAGGTTAGAAGAGGCAAGTCAAGTGCTGCGCCACGCAGCACACGCGCAGAGGTTTTGTAGTCTGAAGTCTTCCAAAAAACAAACTGCTGCGAGAGGGAAAGTGTTGCGCGTATGCTGCGCCGCGCAGCAATAAGTGGTTTGAAGAGGTTTTTATAAAAAAAACAAACAACACCTTTGTCACATCATCACCACGCCAAGAACACCGGTGAGGCTATACTGAGTGGTCTATGAGTTATTCTTATGAGTTGATGTGGCAACCAAGTCACTAGCAGAACACTGAAATACCAATTCTTATACCTAGTGAGATGCAAGTGGAGTGAATTGGCATGAGTTTGGTGAGTTAGGCTACAAACAGTCACAAGGGAGAGACTCCCTCTCTCTATTTCACTCTTCTTCCACCTTTTATCTCTTTCTTCCTCCTGGTAAGTGTGTAGTGAACTGTGAAACACCATTTCCTAACTTCGGTGAATGTCATGTGGAAGGGTGTTTGGCTGACATGGCTAGCTCCTACACGTGGAGCACTCTGGTTAACCTGAGTATCGAAAGGCGTAACGGTGATACATTTTTTACTACATATTATAGAGAAAAAATGAAAAAAATGTTATTTTATATTAATTTGTCATTTTAACATATAAAAAATAATAAAAAACAATAAAAAAAACCATTTTAATGCAATATTCTAATAAAACATTGTTCACAATAAAAAAAAATTAAATCACTATTTTATATATAATTGTGAAGGTAGCAGATCTTATAAGAACTCTATGGTTAAGCGTACCAAAGTAGAAGGATGGTTACCTCCGTGGGAATTTTTCCTGTCTCATGGTCCAAAACAGACAATATTATGGTACATGTTTGGTTCAAATCTTGTTTGAGCCTTTTTGTGTTAACATGATAAAGAGACTTATGGTTTAAGGTGTCATCTAGGTTCAACTCATAAATTCTATTTATTGGTCTAGCCTTAAATTAGAATATTTCATTCAAGAATGATTGAATATTATCATCAACAAATTGAAAATTAAAACCATATTTTCTCAAAAGGGAAACTAGAATAAATCAAAATGTCAAGTATATACTAGATAGTAAACATAAATCAAAATGTCCTATTGCTTGGACCGCAACCTGTACTCCATTGCCAACATGTAGCACCATTTCGCCTGTTTTCAACTCTTTACTCTTTCTGAACCACTATAACGAGTTACATATAAGAGTTTCACAACCAATATCAAATACTCAAGTGGTAGATGAAAAAGTAAATAATCCATTTTTAATCATGAAAA